GTTCTGGAAGACAGGCTGGTAGTGTCATATGTTGTGGTGGCGATGGTCCTGCAGAAAGACCTAGTGATGAATGGGCTAGATACCCGGCTTCCTCTACGAAATGTTTCCGGCGGACAGAAGAAAAGTCGAGATGCACTTTGTGAAGACAAAAGCAGTCAGCATTTCTTCTGTGTGGACAACACGAGTATCGTGTTTCTGCGGTCTCCTGCTCACCCTCTTCACAGGAATGCGCTGCAAGAAGTTTTGTGGGCAAACGAGCAAGAAGAAACGAGAGCAGAAGTCGTGGTAACCTGGGCAGAACGGAGTGGTGTGTTCAGTTGGGCGGTCAAGCTCTCCGATGGTTACGCTTAAATGCCAAGAACTAGTCGAGGTGGTTAACAGAGCGTACGTCCTAGGGTTGGACGTGACAACAATTGTCAAACTGTAAGTGCATATCGTTTAAAAAGTAGGATATTGGATGTGCATGGGAGGCATGCAAATTTAGCAAACAAAAAAAAAGAAAATTACCTCCGGAATCTGTGTGTGGACTGTTACTCAGAAGTCAGCACTTCAGCGGATCCTATTTTTCATATCCAAAGTGACCGCTGTACTCATTTGTCAGCCTCGATTTGCCTTTACTCAGAAGTCAGACCCGTTTCCTCAAACGTAAGGCCGTTCCATATGACGTTCTGCTCGTTGCTAAGTAGATTGCGAAGTGAGTCAATTAGAAAGCGTTGTTCTCCTATTCCTACTTCTACTTTTTGCGTGGGGCGCCGCGAGCGGCATCGCCCACAAGCTCCGTTGCGCCAATCGTCGGTTCTGGATGACGAAGTCCGCAGCTTACGCAGTGCTACGAACGTGCAGTATGACGGGTCTCTCGGGTGTCGGTGCGGTGTCGCCCATGCTGTTGTGCTCCAGTCGGCAGGTCGTCTGGGCAATACTTCACATCCCACGCGTTGTCCTTGATGTACATGGCTGGTGAGCGCGCGGCCTGAAGATGATGCCGACCTTCTCAGCACAGATCGGGCGAAGACACCTCGCGACTGCGGGATGACTGCGATCTACTCTGCCTACATGTCAACCTGCGGCAAACTGATAATATCCTACAATGCCTGCTGGGGACACCTCCATGGTCGCCTACCACCTGAATAGGACTCATACAAACAAATCAGAGAATACCGCAGCTGAAAATACGCGCAGTGATTTCACTGTAGTCCTCTCTTTCAATACCGAAAGCGAAGAGAACAAAACTTAAGGGCACTCGCATATATATATATATATGTATATATAAATAAAATAGTTTGACTTCAAGTCTTTCGTCTTGAGTGGAAATATGAGCGAGGACTACCCCAAAATGGTCGTTGTCTATGTTGGAATTTTTGGATAAGAACTCACTCACAGACAACTTGTTACGTTAAAGGGAAATCTTGGACTGAGACTAGAGCACCTAGTGTTCACTAGTTGCCTTTCTTGACCATCACTCTTCATATCAGAGGGTGGCGTCTCATCATGGGTTGCGTCTCATCAGGGCTACACGCTGCTTAGCGTGAGCTTCACTACAGGAGCGATTTCTAACA